TTGCGCAGCAACATTTCTGTGTCAGAACAGTGCATTGATTGCGTAACACAATATATTTCTTTTACGTGTCACCTATCGTAACTTAGCCGAGCAACAATAACACAAATGCAAATAAACATTTTCTGTAGCACAAATAACAACTGCATGCATGCAATGATTGCTATCAGCGAGCTTCATTTTCTATCAAGAGTCGGTGATATCTGACTACAACTGCGTATCTGAGGTGTCATTATGCACACACAGCTGGAAAATTTTGATGTCGACATAGACTGGACTGTCTTTCAGCCTCGTTTAAAATCCAACCAGAACTGAGCTTAGGGCTGAACTGAGCTTAGAACTGAACATGAAGGGATGTGAGGGGGGGGGGGGGTAGCCAGTAAGGATACATTTGTTGTTTCGCAATCATTTATCGGTATCTTTTAGGACAGCACTGGTCCCATAAATATTCGTCTATGAATGCACGTCCGTTAACCTCTCAAAATACGTCGTAAAAGAAATATGCAGTGAATAAATCGAATCTGAATATCCGAGCACATATGCTTCGAGTTTTCAATTATACTTCATGATTAATAATACATGCCACGCTAATAAATGAGGTGATACTTATTCACAGATGTACTTATTCACAGATGTGTTACCCAATGCAGAACAGATGGCGTAAACTCCGTACGCAAGCTCAAAAAAGGGAGTAATAATAGTTCAGAGCATTTGATTGAGCTGAAAGGAGAGTGGCTGAGAATTTGAGATTAGGATGAGGTCAGTAGAAACGTACCACTTTTTTGTGTATCTCTCGTAGTGTGCGCCAACAGAAGTCTACCATAATTGTCCCTTCTCAGGTGTTATTATAAAGAAGTTGAAAAATATCTGGTCAAAAGCACGTTAGGCCCTAGATAATGAGAAGACCGCAGTTGAGAGCCCATATTCAAGTTTTATACAAGACGAGTTTTACTACCGTCCACCATGGTGTCAGAACGATAAAAAACTGTTTTGCCTCTCTGCGCATGGAGCCGGGCGGCTGTATATTGACCCGGTGGCGTTGTTATAAAACGCCACAGCACCTACGAGACCACAGAGGGTTCGAGTGAAGAAACGCACAGGTAGGGTCCCTTATCTTGTTCTCTAAGACCACTCTGACATAATAGCTGTCTTCATTGCCTAACCATCGATGAACTAATCCTCCACCTCCTAATAATTTATGCGCCCAAAGTGCTCATGCACTGCCTCCGAGATCGCGGGCACTGCAAGGTTCCTGCATCTCAGTGGGTATTGCATTGCCTCTGTGATCGGCACACCTTTGACCGAAGAATGGTATCGTTTGACCACGTTGCCTCGCGAGATGACCTTTGAGAGGTCATAGTGACGTCATCTTGACGTCAGAAGCTTTTGCCGTTCCTGGGACTTTATGTTATAGGGTGACGTCATCACGCGGTGAGGATTTTCTGCATGGCTCATGATGACGCCGACTGCCATTTTTTGCGTTTGATGATGTACCTAAGGCGATTCCTTAGGCGTCCTAACATGGCGATTTACGAGGATAGAATGTGGGTTTCGCTAACATACAACAGTAAAAGTTTTAAGTGCATAGTTAGGTGCAGTCGTCCAAAATGAATGGGAAAAGCAACTTAACGTGTCTTACCTTGGCTGCCCATGTCTGAACTCCGGTGTACCGGTGGCGGTTGTCCATATAACTGCCAAATAGCTGGGCCGCAGTTCTCGTATCCTCATTTGACTGAAATAGAATTGTTCCACCAATATCTTGGCGACCCGCTGCATAAGCAGCATTCAGGTCTTCGTGGAATCCTGAGTGCAGTTCACGCTTTCTCCGCACATAGCGACATGCAAGGAGGCCGTGAGGGCTAGCAGATCGTCGATCTCTCTGGCGTACACAGCTGCGAATCGCTGGCCCGGCCAGAGAACCAAGAACGTAGCTGATATCTGGGATTCCTGAGACATGTGATCTCGGCCGTACTCTATGAGGCAAGCGTAATGCGATCCGCGGTAATGCCACGCCCTCATCACGGTGTGAGGACAACGTATTCTCACTATATCCGCCAAGTAGACCAAAAGCCTAACGTAGTCGACCATGAGTGCTCCGGCGCCGAAGCGAAGCAGTAGCCATGGACAAAAACGTTGTGTCACCATGAGCCAGCAGTAGAGACTTCCGATACGATCCAGGAGCACTGGGACGCTGGGAAACCTTGACAGAGAGCGGCATATTTGCACGATGGCAGTGACCCGCCGCCAGTAAAAGAGCTGCTGAAGCCAATTCAATTGCATTCGGTGCAAGAGTTCGATATTTTCCGTAGAAGCTCGTGAGATGCGAGCGAACAGGTCTGCCATGAATCGCTCTACCATATCCTCGTAACAGGCGGAGACTGTGGAATCTCTGAGCTAATGGGGCGTATTGGTCGGCCACGCGTCCAGCGGTAGCTTAATGTTAGGCCGGAAATGGCAGTTGCTGGCAGAGAGAAGGCCCACGAAGCAGGCAATGGGGGTGGTAGCTTGGCCAATCGCGACTGCGGTGTTAGCGGACGTAATTTAGCGCTCGCTTCGAACCAAGAAGTAGTCTCGAGGAGTGCTAAGATTTTCAAAGGTAACTATAGTCGGGTACAACTTTAGAATACAAGAGAGGCCCCGCCCCAGATGAACGAAGCGCAGCAGTCTATTTCGCTCCAGTGGCTAAGAAATAGTCGCACTCGATAAAAATTGTGATCGCTTCTAAAACGCGTGTTTTTTTTTTGTACAAGTAAGATTCTTGTATCGTGATGAGTGCTTTGGTAAAACTATAATGATGAAAATGCTACAGCACATACCGCATTGCACATGTCGACAAGCAACGTCCTCACACATCACGCTCAAGTTGATGAAGTGGCATAGAAGCACATTTCAGTGCTAGCATATCTGAATCGAAACACTATTCTTCCCTGATCATTCTGGGCGAGCTCGAAATGCTCATTCAGATAGCTAGACGCACAGCTATGTTATCGCACTGCTGCCAACGATCGGTATTTTGCGCGCTGAGCTGACAACAACGAAGGCAGCGTGTTCTCCGTCGGCGGGGTCGCCGGCCAGTCTGGCTTATGACGTCACCTGAAGTGCGTACCAACGTTACTAGAATATTCTAGTAACGTTGGTGCGTGCCTACTGGTAGAGGCTCGTGTGCATCCGCCTTTCAGGGGAAAATGCCGCTGCCTTCTAAATTTGTACTTGACTGTAGTGTATTCGATGGCGTGATGTAAACAGATATAGGAGCGTGACTGGAGCGGTGACCGTGCAACACCTATGCGAGGCAGTCGGCATGCAGATGTGCGAGGAATGGGAGAGAGCTGCACGACACAGACTTCGAGATTAAAATGAAGCGTGTCACACGATAATGTTCGCGGTCTTGGCGCTCTGAGTGCGCCATATTCAACGATATCGAATAACGACAGATTGGATAGTAGTAAAAAATTACGGTAGCCTTGCACTATTGGTATCAAGCCTGAACCAAGTGTGGAGGAGCTCGGCAGCCATCTTTGTCGGTCTTAGGTGTTTTCTTTCTTTCCTCCTCTCCTTCTTGTTTTGCAGTTATCCTGTGCTTTGGTATTTATACTTTTGATTTTGGTACTATTTTTTGACTTATTTTACCTTGTTCCCGGTTACACCACCGCTACAGTGACTGTATTTCTGTCGTGGTAAGGACGTCTAAAGCGAACCACGCATAGATGCGAAGCAGCAAGAGCTAACGCTTACGCTGGCGGCTGCACTGATGCTCATCGCCGCAGTTGCGAAGGAAAGAAACCTCGAGAGGCGCAAAGCACGCAGTGACGAACCGCTATTTCCTACAGGAACATGCCAATCGCTGTCAATAGACAATTACAGGCAGAAGAACGCCTACTGAACACAGAGACCTGCAGCCCGTCTTTAATTAACCCGCATGCTGCGAATTTCTATTGTTTTATGACGCAAACAAAATACCCTCGGAGGTTTAACGATCCATATCCCGCAAATTAAGAAGTAGTTCCGTGCTTTCCATCAAAATCGAGCCAAAATGAATGGTGTAACAGAACAATAATGCCTTTAGTGGACTCCGAAGGTCTGGGCGATGTTTCTTTTTGTTGTAGAAAAAATTAACAATGTGTACGCTGGTATAGTATGCTGTGCGTTGCCCCGCCGTGGTGGTCTAGTGGCTAAGGTACTCGGCTGCTGACACGCAGGTCGCGGAATCAAATCCCGGCTAGCGGTGGCTGCATTTCCGGTGGAGGCGGAAATGTAGGCCCGTGTGCTCAGATTTGGGTGCACGTTAAAGAACCCCAGGTGGTCGGAATTTCCGGAGCCCTCCACTACACCGTCTCTCATAAACATATGGTGGTTTTGGAACGTTAAACACCACAAATCAAATCAATGTGCGCTCTGCTTCCTGCTCCGGTCTCCACTGTCATTGGATTTCACGGTTAAAGCACTCTCTCGCGGTAACCGGGTGCGCGATGTGCATCATATTCTTTATTATTTTTGGTGGGGAGCGCGGATATCAGTACTGCCGTTGAGATATCCGTGGGCATGGAATACTTGGAGGTCTTGTTCACGGCTGCATAGTTTCCATGGCCACCTCGAGATGTCGCCACGTGCCCACCAGCCCACCCACTACAGCACTAAAAATAAGCCTTGCATTCGAAACAATAAGAATGTGCTCAAAGACATAACGTGCTCTAAGAAGCGCATCTTTTGGCCCTTTTTTAATCCCTGTTCCCTCGTAGCCTTCAATGCCCTAGCTTGTGCGATAGGAGAAAGTGGTCGCTTGAAATGTGAGATAATGTCTGTAACTCCACGCGTGCCTCTTGCATGCTAACACATTTTTTAGCAGTTGCATCGTGAATCTACGAGAACCTTTTGTGAAAAAATTTCATGATTCTATGAAAAAAGCGTCGCAGGGCTCCTTTAAAAGCTTGCACGCCAGAGGAAAAAACAGCGTGTCACACAATCACTAATAATGTTTTTTTATTCAATGTGCCACTTCAGTGTTATGCCCAGCAATGTCCCCGCACGCATTTCTGTAAAAAAAAAAAACGAAGAATTTCTTGACATAAGCTTTCAAGACTTCATGAAATGTTTATAGCTGCTTCTACAAGTAGAAAGGTTTTTTTCTACGCATAGTGAGATTGATTCCTTCTACCTTCATATAGTTAACATGCTAGAAATATTATGCCCAAAACCGTACCCACCTTGCACAGGCAGTTTTATCCACACATAAACGTAGCCTTAGTTTAGTATCTAACATTTTTTATAGCTTCCATGCGCATTTCATTTTGAGCAATACCTCGAGCCGATTAACACCTATAATTATGTTCGACGGTAGTTTTATCAAATAGATAAACGTTTACCTTAGCAGGATCAAGTGGGTCACAAGGTGTGTTGTCGTCGTCCTGAAGGACAAACGAATACGCTTCGGTGTAGCAAGTAAACTTGCAGATTTCATACGTCTGTGTGGTAAGGAAGGAAGCAAACAGGAAGGGAGAATGCAAGGAATCGAACCAGAAAACTTCGGGTTGGTAAATTATCAATAAAAACGAAGGACAATGCGTTAGTCGACAGTGGTAATAACAAGCGTTACATCCTAGCATTCCAGAAATCAGCTACGTGGATGCTCACGAGATAGGCGACAGTATAATTTAGAGGAAAATAACTTTTTCGAATTCAAAATTTTCCACGAGTGAGTTCTGTAGAATCCCGCAAGGTGTTTGGAGAGTTTAGAAAGAAAGAACTGAAAATTACCCATTCAGAACGAGTGGGTGGTGGTCAAGTTCCCCTTTCTTAAGTAACGTTCTAACTGAAAACTTGGGCTGTTTTTTTCAGTCCTGGATCTATGGTAAAAGCATGTCAATTTATTATGCTTAAACCACTACCTAAATTTTACACTATCTAAATAAAATATGCGAAAAAAATGCCGTACACATAACAGGTTCGTTCAGAAGGCCAGCATGGATCACTAACAATCCTGGTTCATCGTTTTTTTGTTCCATTTTTTGTCTTTCATCTTGACCTTTTTTTTGTTCAGACTCTCCATATTTGCAAGGAATCGCGACACGGACGAAGGCAGCAGGCTGGGTGTTCAGACGAAAACTGTTTATTGGGCCGCACTTGTGGATGGTACACGGAAAGTCAGATCACAGTAACACAGCTGCACTGATAGCGGCGAACACAGCGTCGGCCGTCGATCAAATGCCAAACAGTCAAGCGCATCGGCATTTATACACGTGCCGTAGATTAATATAGCGTTATCACTAGCCGTCACGTAGGTTCCAGGGCAGCCTGTAATGTTCGCAAAGTGGGTGTAACCTTAACAAAAACAATCTACTACAGCCCTGAAGCTTTTCGAACACTGCAGGTGCGGTTTGTGCTGAATATTACTGATGGTGCAATGGGGCGGTAAAACAACTTAAAAAAATAATGCGGCAATATGTTGATCTAAAGTGATTGAAACCTGGTAGTTAAATTTTGAGATGTATGATGGTTGGTATTAGTATGAAGAATAGTAAAAAAGAAATCGATATATGCTGTCGATAGTTCTAGATGCCTCGCTATGAGACAGCAAGTATGACTTAATGCTTTCACCCTGCTATCGCACATGACTGAATGAAGTGTGAAGATATATTATTAGTACTTGCAATTTCACGTCCCAAAAACAGAAGAACATTATAAGGGGTGCTGTAGTTTGGGAACCGGAAATTTCAACCATCTAGGATTATTTAACGTGCACTGTTATAGCACCACTCACAGGCCTCTGCAATTTAGCGTCGACCAAATGCGGCTGGGTCCGGACCCGCTACCTTCTGGTTAGTATGAAGACTTAATACCAGCCCAGAAGCGTTTAACAGCACGTTGAATTGGTCCTCTTAAAAGATAGAAACTGATTTGCCAGGGTAATGGTGAATCAATGAGGGGATCCGCCAGATAGTGTCAATCTAGAAATTATGGAAAGAGTGGCATAGGGACGTACACAGGAACATTTTGCGGCAGCCGGAGATGCGAGGAATAAAATACCAGTGGAAAAAATAGGTGAGGATGGAGAGAGTCGTTATAATGTCAATGCCAATGATGACATTGTGTTGGCAAACATCGAGGACTGAGAAGAAAACGGAAGCATGGTGGCCGACAACAGCAATGTACATACATAACAAGCATTGATGTCCGGCTCTGTTGGCCACTAGCACTGTACAGAACATAGCAGGCGTAAGAACGTTTTTTGGGCGTGATCAAAGCGTAGAACTTGTAAGAAATAATTGGGTACCGGTGTCAACAAGAGCAGTAACAGTAAGGCCATAAAGGAAGACCCGAAGTATATTACGTCTTGAAGTTGTAGTCGGTTGTGGGTTTTCAATCCGAGTCGTCAACGCAGTGCCACCTTCAGGAGCTATTCTCGCCAGTTTCCCGGGAATGACCAGAATAAGCTGGTAGCGGTGGCGCTGAGGGGAACGTGACTGGTGACCCTGAGGTGACGGTGGGCAGCTAAACCTGTTCCTCTCAGCGACGACGTCAGCATAGGACAGTTAAGAGCGTAGAGATGAATGACGAGGTCTAGGGTCTTGAAGGCGGTCATAGGAAAAGTGCGTTGTGAATAATGCCTGCTTTCCTGCCCGCGGTCGTTTGGAAAGCTTGACCGGGTATACCACGTGTTGCGACGATGGCGGGAGATATGCCGAACACGAGAGCAAGAAAAGTGGATAGGTCAATCGCCTTGCGTATGTCACTCACATGAATTCTGGTAGCATGGCGGAAACTGAGGAGCCGAAGCCGCAGCAGCAACAATTGGAGTGGCGTGGTCGTCAGTGTTGTGGACGGGACATGTGGCTGCTGGACTGGGGAACTTGGATGCCAAAGTTGGCAAACTCTCGACGCACAATGGCTTGAATGAGGGAGATTTATAGAGCCGCAAAACAGTGCTTCTGTGAGCGAGTCTCAACAGCGCAAGCACGAGGAATCACGTGACTTTTCTTCGTGCACTTCAAGGGAAATAAAAGAAGAGAGTTGTTGTTTGGGACGCGTGTGGTTCATTTCGCTTGCGCGACTTGCTCGCCCAGCTCAGCCTCGCAGTGCGTTCCAACATTGGGGACTCGGAATTGTGGTGCAGTCACCGGGATTGGGTATCAACGTCGCTATGACTTCGACGTCGACGGCAGACTCCGCGACTATGACTTCGACGTCCACAACGAACGCTTTGCCGACAGTCTCTTCAGTCGACGGTAAGCTGCCACCCTTTTGGACCGCGGACCCCACACTCTGGCTTATTCAAATGGAAGCCCAGTTCGCAGGGCGACGCATTACATCAGACTTGACCAAATACTAATCGTCGTAAGCAGCCTCCCGTCACCCATAGCCAGTGAAATACGGGATCTCTTACTCGACCCACCTGCCGAGAAAGCATACGTAACGCTAAAAGAAACTGTCATCCGCCATGTGACGCCCCCCGAATCGCAGCGCATCAATTGTTTCACGACACTAACCTCGGCGACCGTACTCCTAGTCAGCTGTTGCTGCACATGCAAATATTACGCGGCGAAACAACAACGTAGACGGAGCATTGTTTCGAGAGCTCTTTTAGGGGCGAAGCTCTGTATAGCGGCACCCGTTCGTCCCTCGTAGTCGTAGTAGTAGTGTGTAACCAGTCTTACATTTTTACCTCCAAGGTGGTGCCGGTGGGAGATTTTTTCTGTGCGTTGTTAAACAATAAAAAATTTGCAGCGTGCGCGTTAACTAAAAGCCGAATGCTCCTGTCTCTCATTACTCCTCAGCAGCCATCGGTATGTACACTGAGCACTATCTGACAAGAAAGGGTTGCTACGTTATGCTCGCTGGGCATAACCTCCTTGGTTTGAGAAAGGTTTAGCGAGCGTTGGGCCGCAGTGCCATGAATACAGTGAACTAGTAAATACCATGAACTCGAGGAGGTTAAAGGTGGGAAGTAGACACGAAGCGCAAGCCGTAAGAAAGTGTGCGTGTGCCACCTCTTGTTTAGCCCTTGGAATGTCCGCTGGATGGCGGTGCGCATGCGGAATATATGATGAAAAGATGCGAGATAGTGGTACTTGGAGTGTCGAGTAGATGGACGAACGGACACACAGACAGATGCATGGACGGACTCGCGGATGGCTGCACCGACGGATGGACGCATGGACGGACGCAGGGGCGGATGCACGGATGAACGCAGGGACGGACGCACAGATGTTCGTGTGGACGCACGAACAGATGCACGCACGGATGGGCGAATGGACGCACGGACGGTCACAGAGACGGACGCATGGACCAACGGAAGCAAGAACGAATGAACGGACGGATGCTTCGCCCCACTCTCCATCATTCACTCAGTAGATATGCTGCCATTTTTTTTTTGCAAACGCTGCCGTCAAGTGTTCGCGTGGTTGTCGAGGCGTCAGAGCAGAAAGACCTACCTGCGGTCGCCGAGCTCGCTGATCAGCTCGTGGTGATAACCACGTCCACATCACTCGCTGCCGTGCAAGAATAACGGGCTGAGGATGAACTTCAGCAAATGCGTGCAGATATTACTCGACTCACTGAGACATTATCAGCTTTGCGTACGAGCAGGGCAGCACAAGCTGCAAGTGAACCAAACACGTCGGTATCACAGCCACAGCGGAAAAAAATATATGCTGGTATCATCGGCGATTCGGAAATTCTGCGCTTAACTGAGTTCCACCCTGCGCGCGCTCGGGAAACGACCGCGGCAAGCACTGAGGGCGACCAGTGCTGCTATGTTGCCTTTAAGTCGTCGCTCAGTATTTTTTGTTACTGACTGTAACAACGGGGCTCGTTTCTTAGTCGACACAGCACCGAGGTGAGCAAAATACCCGCGTCACAAACCAAAAGGAAGAACCCTACTACAGCCCCGCCGCGGTGGTCTAGTGGCTAAGGTACTCGGCTGCTGACCCGCAGGTCGCGGGTTGAAATCCCGGCTGCGGCGACTGCATTTCCGATGGAGGCGGAAATGTCGTAGGCCCGTGTGCTCAGATTTGGGCGCACGTTAAAGAACCCCAGGTGGTCAAAATTTCCGGAGTCCTCCACTACGGCGTCTCTCAAAATCATATGGTGGTTTTGGGATGTTAAACCCCACAAATCAATCAGAACCCTACTACATCACCATTTCAAGCCGTTAATAACACGGTGATACGAACATACGGACATCGTTCACTCACACTGGACTTCGGTTTCAACAGAACGTTCAAATGGGTGTTCATAGCCTCCGATGTCAAATTCGCTATATTTGGCGCAGACTTTCTGCAATACTTTGGTCTGATGGTTGATGTTCGAAACAAACGGCTTCAGGATCCTGTATGTCGTGCAGCGGTTCAAGGCAAGCTCTGTTTGCGTCCTCCGCTTAGCCCGACCTTACTCCGTCGATCAGTAGAATTGCGCTTCACCGCCATAGTACAAGAGTTCCCAGAGCTGACGCAATAGAAATAGGCATTCGCCGAAGTAAAAAGTGATGTTCAGCATCACATAGAAACCATAGGACCACCGGTCTATGCGCGTCCACGGCGGCTTTCGCCTGAGAAGCTATGGTTAGCCCGGCAGGTTTTCTTGCATATGACGGAACTCGACATAGTACGCCCTTCATCGAGCCCGTATGCGCACTTCTTCACATAGTCCCCAAATCAACAGGTGGTGATTGGCGTCCTTGCGGGTATTATAGGACAATAAACCGTGTGACAGTGCCGGACCGTTACCCAGTGCCGCGCGTCCACGACCTGACCTACTGCCTGCATGGCACGAACATCTTCTCAAAAATAGATCTGGTGAGAGCATACCATCAGATTCCCGTAGCACCAGAGGATGTTCCCAAGACCACGATAACAACGCCATTCGGAATGTTTGAATTTCTACGGATGCGTTTCGGTTTACGGAATGCTGGCCAAACTTTCCAACGGTTCATGGATGGCGTTGTCCGGGGCCTCGACTTCTGCAAGGTTTACCTGGATGACCTGTTGATCGCTATCCACACGCCCGAAGAGCACGAGAGCAATTTGCGCTGTGTGCTACAGGGACTGGCAGAACATGGCATCGTTATCAACACGGCCATGTGCGTGTTCGGGGTACCATCACTACCATTTTAGGGCCACAGCATTTCAAGCGCGGGAGTGCAACCACACCCGGACAAGGTTGAAGCAGTACGGCAGTTTCCACAGCCAAAAACCATCCGCCAGCTCCGAGAGTTCCCAAGACTCGTAAACTTCTACCGGGTGTTTGTTCCGGAGTGCGTTCACATCCTTCAACCGCTGCACAGCCTACTAGCAGCTCCAGGAACTAAGGCTAGCGACATTCAGTGGAAAGACCAAGCGGTAGAGGCGTTTGGGCATATCAAGGAGTCTCTTTCGCATGCCGCCCTGCTCGCAAACCCACAACCTGATGGGCCGCAATGCGTAATGGTGGACGCCTCAGACGCAGCTATTGGAGCCGTACTGCAGCAAAAGTAAAGCGGAAGGTGGAACCCCATTTCCCTCTCCAGAAAATTGAGCCCAGCTGAACGCCGATACGGCACCTTTTGTAGGGAGCTTCTGGCCATATATGCAGCTATACGACACTTCCGCCACTATGTAGAAGCTAGAGAATTTTTCGTGCTCACAGATCACAAGCTGCTGACTTACGCATTGCGCGCTGTCAACTCAGATACAGGTGCACACGTGGCACGAGAGCTGCGCCAAATCTTACATCGCAGAATTCACGACGGATATACGCCATGTCAGCGGGAAGGACAATTCAGCGGCAGACGCCCTTTTGTGCAGCCCAGTAAACGCCGTCAGCCTACCAAGTGGCGTTGACTTCACCACACTCATGACGGCTCAACACAGAGATCCAGAATTGAAGCACCTACTGCAGTCCAGAACCAGTGCCCTGAAGCTGCAATGGGTGGATGGACTGACAGGACCTGTACGTTGTTACATGTCCACTGGGAGGGCCAGGCCATTCGTGCCCCCGGATCGTCGCCGCAATATTTATGCATCGCTGCACGGCCTCTCTCATCAGGCAATCCGAGCCACTCAATGGCTCTGCACAGCTAGGTTCTTGTGGCCCGGAATAAACCGGGATGTCCGACTTTGGACTCGAGAGTTCCTACCCTGTCAGCAGTCCAAAGCGTAGCACCGTACTGTAACCCCGTTAGGACCTTTCCCCGAGCCAGACACTCGATTTTCCCATGCGGATTTGGACATTGTGGGACCTTTGCCTTTTCGTCAAGTGCCAAACTACTTGCTAACTTGCATCCACCGCTTCACGTGATGGCCCGAGGCCGTCCCCATCCCAGATATCACTGCAGAGATGCTTGTTCACGTTTTCATCTGCCACTGAATAGCGCGATTCAGAGTTTTATCGACTGTGACAACAGATCGCGGAACGCAATCGAGTTTGCCCTATTCGGGAACATCACGCTGTTCCTAAGAATCCGGCGCATCCGAACAACGGCCTACCATACCATCAGCAACAGTGTGGTGGAAAGGTTTCATCACCAACTGAAGACTAGCCTTACGGCAAATTCAAGTCACAGTTGGGTCGAGGCTCAAACTTTGGTTTTATTAGGAATTAGGACGGCTCTGAAAGCGGACATTGGCTGCTGCTCGGCTGAACTCGTATACGGCACAACACTTCGCCTTCCGGGGGAGTTCGTCACCGACAGTAAAAACGCAATCGCTCAGGCCAAGAGCGAGTACGCCTTGAGACTGCGGGACATTATGAGCAAGCTGCGCCCAGATTGCTCATAATGTCAGATTGTTGCCCAGCTGCCTTGCGCAGGCGGCTGATAGGTAGTGGGTGTCATGGCCGCCAGATGCTGGTGAACAATCCTTGTGATATTAGTGGAAGGTGCGAGTAGACGTGGAGTCACAGGATCTTCACAGGACGAAGACACAGTGGTGTTCGGAAGTCTTGTGAAGCGGTAGGCCATTCACTTGCTTTTGGCATTTTCGAAATGTTGAAATTCGGTTATGATAGACTCGACAGTGGTGCAGTTTTTACACATGTGCATGTTTAAAGCGTCGTACGTTATGCCTTTCAACACGCTACTTACCTTGTCCACATCCGTCATCTCTTTGCCAGTCGGGCGGCATAGTGCCAGTATGTCTTGGATGTATGTGAGGTACGACTGCCTCGATTAGTAAACACGTGACCTGAATTAGTGTCTCGCTGCCATCTGACGTGCAACTAACCAACTGAACAAGCCGCAAAACTTCAGCTTGCACACGCCTCAGCTAGTTAGTTGTTCCTGATGCGTCTCATTCCAGGCGCGTGTTGTACCCCTGAGGATGCAAAGAATAATTGGCAACATGAGCGTCTCGTACCACCTGTAGTGTTTGCCCTCGTACAATACGAGCCGTTCTGAGACGTTCCTGCTGTTCGTGCCGCAAACGTGCCAAGGTCAGGAAGATGGGATGGTGTGTAAGGTGACGAAGCTGGCGCGAACTGCGTTGGCTGTGCGTCGGTTTCTGGCATTCCGGCTGGACAAAGGTGGCGTCTGGTGCAGAGTTGCGGAGCCGGGTTGTTTGAAGACACAGAACCTCATCCGAAAGGATGGTACGGGGAACATTTATTCGGTGACAGAGGATCTAGCTAATGCCGTGCAAAGCACACACCATTGCATGCCGACAGGGCAGCTCAAGATTTCAACCCACGACAACAAAGTTTTCGTCTTCCTTTGCGTGCTATTTCAGCGCCTGTGCCAGAGTGACAGTTCCACACACACGTCACTATTGCCATGCACGTTTCTTATTTTCACTTTTGTTTGATTTGGTTTTCGCCCACAAAGACTGGGTCAGGAATGCTCACCGCAAACTACGTCTCATTGTTCGAGAAGGTTCGCGATCCTTGTAGATCATTCGGTTAAGATTGCGCACCAGACGCGAGCACTGGAGGTTATGCTATAGGTCGCGCGATGGCCAGTCGTAAGGCTGAATTATTTGACAGCATTTGCATGTGCCGACGCGCTTCGTCGCTGGTCAGTTGATCGACGACTATCTGTGCAAGTGTGTATCGCTGTAATCTGACCTTCCGTTTACCTGTCACAAACTTGGCCGAATAAAACAGTTTAATCTTGTATTTACAAACTGCTCCCTTCTAACCCCGTCACGATACCATGGCAATGTGATTACATACAAGTCGTTACGGACCTAATAAGCCCTTGAAATCTCGCCACCTGCATCGTAACTTCAAGGTGGGGTCACACTCAACACAAATTGTCTCTCCATATCCTGTACAGCATTCGGAAAATCATGAGGGTATGTATTCGTATACCAGGGGTGTGTTAATCGCAGTTCTCAGCAAAAGTGGAAATTAGAAGTAATGGCGCTAAGAATATATCGACAATCTTACCCTTAGCCTTGCCGCGTCGCGGTGCGTTAGCGAATGTGCTTAAAAAGTTTACTGAGTGTACATGCGGATGAATCCAGATATTATTTCTGGTAAAATACTGAAATACTACGTAAATAATATCGCACCTCAGTGGCCACAAGTCTATCTCCCCTGGGCAAGTAGCCGGCGCACTTGTCAGCCCTTCGTTTAGCAAGGTGTTGGTCGACTGGCGTGGCTGGCACATGTGTGTCGGTGAACAAGCATTTGGCGTTTGGGGTGCTGCGGAAACGATGAATTATTGTTGCAGAACTATTCAATACTATGGTGCTGGAAGTCTGTTTATATATAGCTATTTTAGTGTGTCCGCTGTGTCATGAGAAAGAGTGGGCATGTACAATGGCGCGAGATCGTCGAATATATATCTATATAGATAGATAGATAGGTAGGTAGATAGATAGATAATGTCACAGAAGCTCTCTAGAAAATGCTTCCCTTTGAAAAGCGCCCGTACCACAGTGCTTTTCACAGCCCTTAGGTTTCACTTCTATTTGCGAGCTCACACCATCAGCCACGTGGGTGCGTCTGCGCTGTTTACCTTGACTCAATAGGCGTAGCCGTTTTTATTAAGATGTTATAGACTTTCTCAAGCTCGTCTCTTGAACCAATCGAGTTTTTACTTTATGTTGCGACGTAAGTCTTCAGGTGCCCTTTGGACTCGTCATGGGTGGGACGCCTTCCGTGTGTCCCAAAGAGGAACAGTGGCAGTCTACTGAGCGAAGGCGCGACCGGAAACGCGAAGTGTGCGTCCCCGTCAAGCCAACGCAACCGACGAGGAGCTGAGAAAGGAAGTCAAACCAAACGGCACCGTGGCAAGATTCCCCGCAACAATGCTTTCGCGGCTTCACAGGTCTTCCGTTTTCATTAACAGTTGGAAGATCTCTAGCCTTTTCTTCTAATTCAAGGGCGAAGCTCCTTATAGCGGCACCCGTTTATTTATTTATTTATTTATTTCCAATACTGCTGCTCTCATCTGAGAGCGTAGCAGGAGGGCAATACAAAAAGTGCAATATATAAAACATAAAACATTTCAGGAACAATGAAATATCTAATAAATGTAAAAAAAGAGGTTACAATAAATATAAGGCAAGAACAAATAGCGTTTACCAAAATATATACAATGAATACATTTATCACACTATTGAGACAGGCCTGTAGTTATATCCTCTCTGTGTCGAGGATTAGTTGCTTGTGCCTTCAATTTTATTAACAAATTCCGAGAATGATTTGGTGTTTGTGATCGATGGATGTACTTGATTCCATTCCCTAATGGCAAGTGGAAAAAAAGAATGCTTGAAGGTTTCATTACTATATGAATATTCTGTTAGTATATTGGGATGCTGTTGGCGTGTAGGTCGGGTTTCGGAAAACGAAATGTACTTCGACACGTTTATCTTGAAACTGTTGTGAATTATCTGAAACAAGAATTTTAAGCGGGCTTCTTTCGCCCTTTCTAGCAGCGTTTTTAGATTGGATGCGTTTAAAAGGTAAGTTGGGGAGTCAGTGCGCCTGTACCTGTTGTGAATAAATCTTATCGCTTTTCTTTGCACTGCTTCCAGTTTCCTTATGTTAGTCTTTGTATGCGGGAACCAAACCACGTTGGCATATTCTAAAATCGGTCTTATAAATGTCTTATAGGCAAGCAGCTTTATTGGGGTGGGAGCTAGTTTTAGGCTTCTTTTAAGAAAAAATAACTTGCGTAGTGCTGCTGCGGAAACGTTATCTATGTGCTGGGTCCAGTTAAGGTCCGAAGTAAGCGTCACCCCTAAATATTTATGTTGGTTTACTTTAGGTAGCATGGTGCCGTCGACTGCATAGTTGAATATTGAGGGCTGTTTTCTTTTAGTTATTGTGATCACAGCGGATTTTTTTACGTTTATTGACATCTGCCATTGTTTACACCATTCGGATATTGTGTTTAGGGAGGCACTCAGCGCAAGGTGGTCTGTATGGCTATTGATTTCCTGATATATAACACAATCGTCAGCAAAAAGTTTTATGTTAGAGTCGATGTTTGTTGCAATGTCGTTGATATAGATTAAAAATAACAATGGTCCAAGAACTGATCCTTGTGGTACGCCTGATGATACAGAAACGGTTTTCGATGTAGCTTGTTCAAAGAATACGAATTGTTTTCGATTGAGCAAAAAGTCCTTAATCCAACTGGCGAATGAGGTGTTACCTAAGATGGCTTCCAATTTCGCAATTAATTTGTTATGGCAGACACTGTCAAATGCTTTTGAAAAATCTAATAGGACCATATCTGTTTGACTGCGGCGATTGAGGCTATGTGCAAGGTCATGTACAACTTCGGTCAATTGTGTAATAGTTGATAAACCGTTTCGAAATCCATGCTGGTTGGGAGAAAAAAAATGTATTTGTTCAAGGAAAGATGTGATGTGTTTAAAAATAACATGTTCTAGTAGTTTGCACGATGTACTTGTAAGAGATATAGGTCTATAGTTCGATACCAGGACTTTATCTCCGGATTTATGTATTGGTATGACTTTAGCTAATTTCCAGTCAGACGGTAATTTAGCGAGCTGCAAGGATTTCCTAAAAATTATTCCGAGATATTTACTACTCCATTCCGCGTACCTTTTAAGAAATTCGTTCGGAATGTTATCGGGACCACTAGATTTCCTGGAATCAATTTTCAATAAAAGATTCATGACACCGGCATCTGTAATGATTAGGTCATCGATGGTCGTGGTAATGCGCGAACTAATAGAGGGTACATTTTTATTTTCAGCTGTGAATACAGATTGAAAAAAGTTGTTAAATGACTCAGCTTTATCTTGTTTTTCTTTTGCAGATAGTTGTGTCACTGCCCCCTTTACACTGAAATGTTTCCAGAACCTGCGAGGGTTATTTGCAAGGAAACTCGGCAGAGTTACGTTAAAGTAATGATCTTTTGCCGCTTTGGTTTTATCTCGTAGATCAGTCTTAGCGTTCTGCAGTTTTAAAGTTATCGACTGGCTTTGGTTATTTTTGCTGTTTTACGAAGACGATTCACGCGACGTTTTGAGTGAATAACTTCACGCGTGATCCATGGGTTTGACCTCTGCTGTTTTCTAGTTTTTTGGGGAACATACTTATCGATACAAAAAAATATAATTGATTTGAACTTAATCCATAGAGCGTCTATGTCACATGATGCGTTCGACGCGAGTTGTGAAAAGTTGGCAAACTCGTAGTCTAAGTGTGTTAGTATGCTGTTGTCGTCTGCTCTTTGAAAGTCAGCAATCACAGACACTTCGTCACGATTGATTTGGGTATTGCTAATAGGTAGAATGCATAGCGGTATATCGTGGTCCGAAATGCCTTCAATAATACTCGATTTAACGGCACTTATCGGGAAGTGTTGGCTGAGAAGGATAAGATCCAGGATGTTTTTAACGGCACCTTGTGTGCGCGTAGGCTCAGTTACGATTTGTTGAAGGTTAAAGGCAAGCATAATATCAAGGAGAGCTTCAGAGGCTGCTGACGAGTGATGCATAGTATTCCATTCTATGTCAGCAAGATTGAAATCACCCATCAGTAGTACTTTCGAATTTCTCACATTTTGATGCATGAATTCTTGAATGGCCGATATACTTTCATGACCCGATGACGGGCTCCGGTAAACACACCCAATGAACACAGTCCCTGAGTCACACGTGAGTTTACAAAAGATTGCTTCAGCTTCTAAATTGTGCGCCAAAACGTGGAAGGAAAAGCGATTCTTTATCAGCAGAGCAACACCACCCCCTCGCGTCAGACGGTCCTTGCGGATTACAGAATAACTTGGGGGAGCAATTTCAGAGTCGTACACGTCAGGGGTGAGCCATGTTTCAGTAATAGCCACAACATCAGGTTCATATTCAAGCAACAGATTTTCAAGAGCTTCGATTTTGTTTAGAATACTTCTAGCATTTATATTCAGTACAGTTATTTCTTTAATTTTGTGCCTTGACGAGTGTAAGGCCACCCCTTCGTGTCGTCCTTTTTTTGACGAAGCAGAACTTTGTCATTTTTTTCGTTATTCCAAACGAAGGCTTGGCCATTAATATAGAGTTTGTCGAAGGCTAGTGACACCTTCTCGTGTTTCTGTCGATTTTCTTTTGCACTCTCCCAAAGCCTCTTTCTGACTTCCCGTATTTTACGCGAGAAGTCTTCACCAATGGACAAGCCAGAGTTTTTCAGTTTGTACCCATTTTTGAGTATTCCATTTTTTTGTCTAGAATCCAGCAGTTTGAAAATCACTGGTCTGACTTTATTTGTCTGTGCATTCCCTAATCGGTGTATACGTTCGATTGCAACTGGTTCAAGTTCCAGTTTTTCTTTAATAATACCTTCGTTTACGGCTTGTTCTAAGCTTTCACTTGTTTCTCCCTCCTGTTCAGCTAAGCCGTACACAATAAGGTTTGACCGGCGGCTTCGATTTTCAAGGTCATCTATTCTTTTTTGCAGTGTTTCAATTACCTGTTTCATGTTTAATATTTCACCGTGAGAAGCTTCGACTTTCTTTTCTAGTTCCGTTATTGCGTCAAGCTTTTTATCAATATCGGTCAGACGCTTCTCTTTTATCTCTTTTATGTCGGAAGCAATTTCCTTTATCTGTCTTGCGATTTGGGTTAGCTCAGGCCCAGGGTTTGTTTCAATATCGCCCCCAAGGAGCAATAATTTCTTCGCTAGGTCTATACATATTGACACAATTCCACAAAACTGCCGCGGGCACAGCAGCACAAGCAAGAAACGGTTGTCTGATCGAATACAAATTCCATGTTCCCTTCTCACCTGCACGATGAAGACGAAGGGGTTAAGCGTCCGCATTGCCTGAGTGCCGCTGTGCCCACAGCCTGCGTTGTTTGGTGCGGGCGCTTTTGTAGTCGTGGTTATCCGTGGTGGCGCTGCTTGTAGGTCGATTGCACTGGTTGCCTTGTAGTGACGCAACACAGATTCAACTGCCACGAAGAGCAGGATATCTGGTGCGTGTAGTGTCGGTGCGTTGAATGCCTGCGCAGTCCACGTGTCCGTGGTCAAGATGGCGTTTCCACCGCTGACAGAGAACAGCAAGTCCGGGAAGAGCTGCAGCATCTGCACGATGAAGACGAAGGGGTTAAGCGTCCGCATTGCCTGAGTGCCGCTGTGCCCACAGCCTGCGTTGTTTGGTGCGGGCGCTTTTGTAGTCGTGGTTATCCGTGGTGGCGCTGCTTGTAGGTCGATTGCACTGGTTGCCTTGTAGTGACGCAACACAGATTCAACTGCCACGAAGAGCAGGATATCTGGTGCGTGTAGTGTCGGTGCGTTGAATGCCTGCGCAGTCCACGTGTCCGTGGTCAAGATGGCGTTTCCACCGCTGACAGAGAACAGCAAGTCCGGGAAGAGCTGCAGCATCTGCACGATGAAGACGAAGGGGTTAAGCGTCCGCATTGCCTGAGTGCCGCTGTGCCCACGTCCCGCGTCCCGTCGTAGTATGTAACCAGTCTTACGCTTTGACCTGCAAGGTGGTGCCAAGTATAACATTTTGACCTCCAAGGTGGTGCTGGTGAAGGATTTCTTCTGTGCGTTGTTTAACAATAAAGAATAGTGCTCAATGTATATGCCAATGGCTGCTAATGGGGAATGAGAGACAGGAGCTTTCGACTTTTAGTCAACGCGCACGCTGCGATCCCCATTAGCAGCCATTGGCATGTACATTGAACGCTATCAGACAAGAAAGGGTTGCTACATTATACTCGCTGGGTGTAACCTCCTTAGTTTTAGAAAGGTTTAGAGAGCATTGAGCCGCAGGGCTATGAATACAGTGAACTAGTATATACCAGGAGCTCAAGGTGGTTGAAGGTGGGAAGCAGACCCGAATCACAAGCCGTAAGAAAGTGTGCGTGTGCCACCTCTAGTTTAGTCCTTGGAATGTCCACTGAATGGCGGTGCTTCTATATGGGGAATATATGATAAAAAGATGCGAGATGGTGGGACTTGGAGTGTTGAATAGATGGACGAACGGACACACAGACAGATGTATGGATGGACGCATGAACGGACGCAGGGGCGGATGCATGAACGAATGCAGGGACGGGCGCACGAACAGACACATGGACGGTCACACAGACGGACGAATGCTTCGCCCCACTCTCCATCATTCACTCCGTGGATATGCTGCAAACTTGTTATACATATTTTTCTAGCCACATACTGCATAGCTCATTTTCAATGCGAAGTATTTCTTAGCGAACTTCGGCGACTTTGAGCGTATCTATCTATCTATCTATCTATCTATCTATCTATCTATCTATCTATCTATCTATCTATCTATCTATCTATCTATCTATCTATCTATCTATCTATCTATTCTATCTATCTATCTATCTATCTATCTATCTATCTATCTATCTATCTATCTATCTATCTATCTATCTATCTATCTATCTATCTATCTATCTATCTATCGATCTATCTATCTGTCTGTCTGTCTGTCTGTCTGTCTGTCTGTCTGTCTGTCTGTCTGTCTGTCTGTCTGTCTGTCTGTCTGTCTGTCTGTCTGTCTGTCTGTCTGTCTGTCTGTCTGTCTGTCTGTCTACGACTTTTAGCTCTCCTGGCTGTTAAACAGTGGTATCGATACCAAATTTGGTGTGGCATAACATGACTGTATGGCGAACATATTTGATTAGTTATAACATGAAAATCATGATATGTATGTCATGTGTGTCATGATTTACATTTCTTGGTCTTGCTGCTCTTGCGGTGGTTGCGTTCACATGGCATGTTGCAAAACTGGTATGGTCTGGCATGATTGCATGGCGAACACAAGCGACAGACCCTAACATAAAAAAATATGACATGCGTGTCATGTAACAACATGACCCCGTGCCACGCTCATGATGCGCTCGCGCCCGTTTCGTTAGCGTCACATATACGAAATTTGATATTACGGTACGTGAATGAATGACAAAGGTATGTGACTGGTACAAGCATGGTAATCATAAGATGCGTGTCATGTAACAACATGACTACATGCAGCGCTCATGATGCGCTCGAGGCCGTTTTGTTAGCGTCACATATACGAAATTCGGTAATACGGTACGTGAATGGACGACATTGGTAAATGACACATCCAAACATGATAATCACGACATGCGTGTCATTTAACATTATGACGTCATGCCACACTCATGATGCGATCGCGGCCGTTTCGCTAGCTTCACATATGCCAAATTTGGTGTTACGTGACTTCAATGAATGGCGAAGGTACGTGACCGGTGCAAACATGATAATCATAAGATGCGTGTCATGTGAGAACATAGCTACATGCCACAGGCAAGGCGCCAAGATATTTCGACGTGACGCGGTGCGCGTGCCCGCCGGAGTACATTTCGTCGCGTCAAGCTGGTGATTCAACGCCAGGCGCTGGTCCTGCTATATACTCGCAGGCGCACGCCGCGCTGCGTTACTTTGACGCACGTGCGTTTCAGCGCGTCCAGCGTCCCTTTGTCGCGAAAAAAGGCAGACGCAGTGCTGTCTGGGCAACGTAGTGAATGTGAAATGGAGCACGTCGCATTTCGCGCCGCTTGGCGTCGGGCCGCGCCGACGGTCGCTGGTCGCGCCTGGCGTCAGACTGGAGTTCTCACGTTTTGCTAACGTATAGCGTCACTGCGCCCAGGGTGCACACGCGTCAGCGTTACGTTGTAGTATTTTGGGTCCTTCGTGATGCACTAGCGGCCGTTATGGTAGCTCCACATATACCAAATTTCGTCTTACGTGACGTCAATGGATGACGAAGGTACCTGAGTGGTGCAAACATGATAATTACGACACGCGTGTCATGTAAGAACATGACAACATACCACGTTCATAGAGTGCTCATGGCTGTTTCGCTAGGTTCACATATACTAAATTTGGCATCACGTGATGTGAATAGATGTCGAAGGTAAACGACACAACCAAACATAATAATCATGACACTGAAGTCGTGTACGGCATAATTTACCTCCAGCTCGTAACGTTGTGGTGATCCTAAAGTGACATATCCACCTTCCGATTTTCATTCGTGCTTTGCATATCATCGAATCCTACAGTATGTGGGATCTGCCAATTTTGTTTTCTCCTTTTGAACCACCATTATTGCTACCAATACTACTGATTTCAACAAAGAGATTTCAATATTTGTCACTCTGTCCCTCTCTTTATCAGATAAATTTTTTCTAGCACACAGATTGTTTGTCTCTGTCATTTAGAGCTGCGGTGTAAAAAAAAAATGCATCTTTAGAAAAAGGCGCTATGCGTGGAGACGAGTACTGCACAGAAAGTGGTACGGGAATGACATAAAATAGAATATATTGAACATGGTGTCCATTTGCATTCATGGAGTTTCGATTCAGTAGTATTGATACAAAAGCGGTAAAGCACCTCACTGATCAAGGCACACTGGAAATTTTTTTGATCATGTTAAACCTATCACTACTTAAAGGTCACAATTTACTATACACATTTACAATACTCAACGCTAGTTTTCGGGAGTATTTAGTTCTTGAAAGAAAAGAGAAGTATTATTTGAGAGTTTCATATGCAGGGGTAAAAACAAAAGCAAAGATGATCGTTTCAAACATTTTCGGCCACTTTAAGGGATCATACACCTTATATATTGCTTAGATAATGTCTAGACGATTGCATGTTTTATGGGAAGCTCAATATAAGTCCATAATGGCTTCGCCCGGAAAGGCATAAGTAGTCATTGTGATTTATTTTATATTGATAGAACAGCGTAACTATACACTAATAATGTGTTTATTCTATTTCGTCTGCTGGTGCCTGTCCCCCTTTTTTCAAAAACAACAGTGAGCAAGGTTGGTGTGGAACGCAGCAACAAAAGGCGTAAAAGATTAAGCACAAACAGAGCACTTGGTGGGAATGAGTTGAAACCCTATAGTGTTAGGGTACGAAGCATGACGTCACAATTTGCTCTCAGATTAGCGGTGCAGGTGAAGGCGGAAGAAACGCAAGAGATTATTTGGTAACGTCACACAAGTATAAAATGTCTGAATATACCGGACGGGCAACTTATGAAATGTCTGAAAGTGCATGGACAGGACGGGCGCCCACCCTGTCCATGTGTTTTCTCATAGAGTTTCATACAATAATACCTAGAGGGTAATCTGGCGCTAGTGTTCACGCGGGCTCCTTCAGCGGCGCTTGTACCCCCATGGGAATTAGGGGAAGTACAGGCTGTGGATAGGCTTCGCATCAATCACGTTCTTGAGATTCGTGACGCTTGTTTGGTGAGTGTAAAACCAAGTGATTTGAAGTTACGTTCAATTGAAACTAGCTTCATCTTTTTGTGCGCAAACTTTATTGCAAAAAAGTTTTGTGACTAGGTGGTAGAAGTGAAACCTGGACAAATTTAACCACAAGGGTATGCATTGCTCTGCCATTGCGTTCCAAATTTGGCCTCAAAATGAAATTAATTATTTTTAACAACATATGAAAACAGACATTCTTGTTTTGCACTCGAAAGTACGCAATATCTATTAATGAAAATAGCAGCACAGTATTAAGTGAGAAACATTTATTGTTTCGTCAGCTGTGATGCCAGGTGCTTCTGTTCGAATGGTCTGCCCCCGACGCACCTCTCGTTTCTTTGGGAAGTCGAGTCATAAGAGCATGGCGGTTTGTCTACTTCGCGTCGCCGTCGCTTTGTAGTTAATTTCAACAAGTTTTGGCAAGACGCACTAACAGCAAACGTGAACTCGATGTAATATCCCGCACTGGCTTGGGACGCTACTTCTATGCGCAGCGGTCAGTGGACGACGCTTCACTTAAATTGTCAAACACGACTTACACAGTTCCAGCTTTGCGGTAAATTGAGAGGTCTAGCAGTTTTCAGCTTCTTTGAAATACAAAGGCGCAGCTTCAGTCCTTTGCACCCACCCCACTACCCACTCTACGCGACGAATGAAACGGAAACTGTAGAAAAAGATTCGTAGACAGTTCACTGGCTAACGCGATCCAATCCGAAGCCTGTGCTTCCCGTAATTCTCATGAGGGTACACGATCGCAGCTCCAGATTCCTCTCTAGGTATTATTGTATAAGAAACTCTTATGCGTTTTCTTTTTTTGTGTGTGTGCTGTGATTTTGGCGGGAAATAGACTATTTAATTTACTAATGCACCAACTAGCCCAACAGTGAGTGCTCGAGTGCTACTGAAGTTTAAAATGCATTATTATGAACCCTTACCGCAAGAATTTGTTGACAGTAGCAATGGTGCAGCGCGAGTATAGTGGCACTGTTTGTCTAGTGGTTGCGGCGGTCATTACGTAACGATATCCCGGGCAATCTTTCGATGTGCCTTCACCATCATGATTCGATCCAAGCCTGTGAAAAGAGAGTGATGTTGAAATGCATGGCTGGGCATACCATACGTTTACGAAATAAATCAACTGGACCGCATGATTGGACGGCAAACAGATTTTGTGTCATTTATTAAAGCTTTACACGCTCAATGTTCACTCACTGGCCGGCAGACGTGTTGCCTGATAAATTTATGTCATCAACCACATCAACAGTTTGTAACAATTAGACTCTAAAAAATACTCTACAAAATCACCAGTAGAGGTAAATGAACACCATTTCGATTTAACTCTTCTCAACCTAACCTCGCAAATATATTTTTATCTTCAGCCTCATTGGATGTCGTTTTCGCGAATACATATAATAATCTCTAGGGATTTTTGTTAAGGTATTGATTTACGAGTGCTCGCAATGCAGAAAGATCACTTTTTATTAATTTGTGTAATTGAAAAACTGTACAGGTCAATTGCCCATTGCCTAAGGAGGGTCTATAATCACAACATTTTATATAAAATAAATAATATCCAAAGCAATCAAGGAAGCTGTTGCACATGTGTAACTATATAAAACACAATATAGGATGAAGTAATACAGAAGTCACACATAAAGCATCCAAATATATATGCCTCTTGAATCAGGAGAGGGAGATGAGGCTTGCTGCTGACAAAATACACTGGAGATCAAACTAGTATACTTCTCGTTACCACCCACACCTACAATATTAGAATTTAGCGTGCAGAGTATCCACGTCCTATCTGAGGAGAGAGAGAGTAATAGAAGCAATGAAATACAGGGAGGAGAGGTATCCCAATCGTATGAATGTACACACGGGCAGGAGAATGTGTGAATGAAGTAACGCTTTGCACTCTTGATGCGCTACAGGACTGTAAATCATCGCTGTCGTAAAACGACTTGTGAGAGAAACGAAAAATGTAAGACGGCGGATACAGAGCAAGGACCAGTTGATGTAGAACTTACGTGTGTCCTATTTCGTGTGCTATCGTCATGGGAACGGTCCTCCTGTTACCATCGTAAATAATGAACGTTTTGTGGGGGCCACACGCCGAATTCGTACGCGCGACACCTGTACAAAAGCATGAAGACGCAGTAAATAACCTCCATGCTGTGACTTCATAAATTCAGGAATGCTTAAAAGGTATTTATTCCTTCAGTAAGCGTATGCAGACGTTTGTTTTGAAATAAACTATACATGACATCTATGTACAATGAAATAACATAAGTGTACGCAAACGCACTGGGCAGCAAAGAGGGAAAACGTGTTGACAGCGCAGTATGGAAACCGTGTCGAGCTTTTCCTTTCTACCTCTCCATGTTAAGTCTGAAGTAAATAATACCAAACCATCAGGTAAACTTAGACGACGTTGATAGGGCGCCAACTTTTATACCACCAGAGATCTGTGTGATTGTAAATTTTATGCAACTTCGCAGCTTTAGCGTAAGACACCCGCAAATTAAAGTAGTGGCTAGTGCAAAAATTGATTATCATTTATCAATTTACCTGCCTTGTAGGATTTCTGTGACCTAAGTGCTTGCGAATGCGTCAATAAAAAATAAATTTTACAAGGCATCCTTCAAGAAAAAGTGCTAGGAAACAAGTACAAAAATATAAAATTGAATAATTCATGAAAAAAACAGGATAAAAATATGACAGTTATTATGAAGACAGTACACATACAGCAGAGATGCCGTAAAACGTAACGAGGAAAAAGGCAATAGACTGTGTGGCGTGGCGTTTGAAGCACAAAGATCGTAAGAAAGAGAAGTGACATTTTACTTAATATTCGGGGACATATTGTTGGTGTCCGCAGAAAATGAAAAAAACTAGCAGATAAATGAAGGTAGAGTTGAAGCAGCACATACCAGTCAGTTCTTGCGATGGATTTTTCTTGCCACCTCTAACGTAAACGAGTTGTCGGCTGTAATTTCGAAGCAAATTATTCAAGAAAGAAATTTTTAATGATTAATTTGCAAGGTTTTGGTGAACGCATGCCCGAGATTCACGAAACACTCACATGCGTGTGATATCTCATGAGGTAAAGTAATTTGAGAAATAAGATATCAGTAGCTCAGCCCATCATTAAACCACGGTAGTTCGGCAAAGGTGGCAGTTTCATTTGTTCAGTTTCACGTATACATGCACTGCTCTAGATAGTACGTAGGGTGGTCAGGCAATAACTCTTTAATATGGTGACATAATATATTTCGTAATTTGTTTCTTAGTTCAAGGCTGTCAGGTTCCAAGTAATCAGATGACTAGAACTGCATTTTTTTATTTTGAGAGTAGCTTAAAAGCACTAGAATACGAGAAAAACTCTATTATTCTTGTATATTTGGCTGTTGAAACCATGTATTTGTATAGGCGTAGAATTAGTGCATTGTTACGAATAAGCCTTAAGTAAGCGTTCATGCAGCACACGTGCGACAGAAACTTTCAGGCTTAGTACCATGACTAAATTATGGCGCAAGCGTAGCTTGGCTAGAAATAACCACCTTATAATTAATCTGCGAGTACGTTATACTATATTAGGGGTGAAGCTCCTTATAGCGGCACTCATTCATCTCTCGTAGTCGTAGTCGTAGTGTGTAACCTGTCTTACGTTTTGACCTGCAAGGTGGTGCCGGTGGGAGATTTCTCCTGTGCGTTGTTGAACAATAAAAAAATCATAGCGTGCGCGTTAACTACAAGCCAAATTCTCCTGTCTCTCATTCCCCATTAGCAGCCATTGGCATGTACATTGAGCACTATCTGACAAGAAAGAGTTGCTACGTTATACTCGCTGGGCGTATCCTCCTTAGTTTTAGAAAGGTTTAGCGAGCGTTGGGCCGCAGTGATATAAATACAGTGAACTAGTATATACCATGAACTCGAGGTGGTTAAAGGTGGGAAGTAGACACGAAGCGCAAGCCGTAAGAAAGTAAAAGCCGAATTCTCCTGTATCTCATTCCCCATTAGCAACCATTGGCATGTACATTTAGAAACATATCTGACAAGAAAGGGTCGCTACGTTATACTTGCCGGGCGTAACCTCCTTCGTTTTAGAAAGGTTTAGCGAGCGTTTGGCTGCAGTCCCATGAATAGAGTGAACTAGCATATACCATGAAGTCGAGGTGGTTAAAGGTGGGAAGTAGACACGAAGCGCAAGCCGTAAGAAAGTGTGTGTGCGTGGACCTCTCGTTTAGCCCTTGGAATGTCTGCTTGATGGCGGTGCTTCTATATCAGGAATATATGATGAAAAGATGCGAAATGGTGATACTTGGATCGTTGAATGGATGGGCGAATGGACCCACAGACAGATGCATGGACGGACTCACGGATGGCTGCACCGACGGATGGACGCATGGACGGACGCAGGGACGGACGCACCAATGCACGTGCGGACGCACGAACAGACGCACGCACGGACGGGCGAATGGACGCACGGACGGTCATACAGACGGACGCATGGACGCACGGAAGCAAGAAGAAGTGGACGGCCCACTCGCCCCACTCTCCATCATTCACTCCGTAGATATGCTGCCATTTTTTTCCTACGGCTTACTCCACAATGTGTTGGACGTGGCCTATAAAGAGCACGCGCCAGCCATAGCGTCAGCGCAAATAGCTAGATGGCCGCTATGGAGGAGAAGCCATGAGATGGTTCGTCAACGAAATACCAACGACCCATACAACACAGAAACAACCTTATAAATATTCCATCTTGACGAGTAATATCCGTAAAATGTGCTGTACTATTTGGCATATGAAATCTCCAGTAGTTGACAGTTTTTGGGTTCGTTTGCTTTGTAGGAAGCGGGGCGTAGTTGAATAAGACATAGTTGTTCCTGCCTTATAAGGCATTATGATGTCCAGCCAACCGTTTTGCTTTAACCTGAACACGTGAGCATAAGCGCCGATTCCAAGCATCCTGGAGTCCGGTTCCCAGAACAGCATGGCATAAACCAGTTGTGCATGGCTGTTTATAAAGCACTTGCGTGTATTCTAGTTGAATTTGGCACCGTGCTTTCTTGTACGGCAGTTATTGATTGGGCTGTCAATGAACGCGCGGTTGAGTTTAAGAATGTTGGCAGTACAACATTCCTCAGAAGTAACAAGCTCTACTTATTACTGAAATATGAATAGAATCTTCACTGTTCGCAATAAGAGTGATTGAACAAATGGAACAAAATACGTCAAATAACCTTGCGTTGACCAAGAGACAAAAAAGTGTGTTCCACACTCACTCTAATGGCAACATGTGGCAATGACTGACGGTCCCATGTTTAAACGCACATATATACCCCCTAATGTAGACGGGGAGAGGACTGCCGCCGTAGCTTAGTGGTAGAGCACCGGATCCGCTATTCGAAGGTCGCAGGTGTGCTAATCCTACCAGTGGAAAGTAATGTTTTTATCCACTTTTATTTCTTCACGCTTACAATACGGTTACTTCTAGGAACATCCCAGAAACTTTCCGTGGGTATATCATCTGTCAGTTCTAATTAATATAGTGTCTAACAAATAAAACGTGCCTACCATTTCCTCTATTTTTGACACATGAATGTCTCTCGATTTTAATTCTACTATTGCTAGCTAGTCCTGTTTTCCTAAATGGTTCACTCTAATGGGGTTTTTCAATATACTTTCACTGTGAGCCAACCGTATTATCCTGTATTAACGGGATCGAGTTAAAGAGCTTCTTTCGCAGAAATGCTCGGGTTGACGTCACCTGTTGTGAGCAAAAAACCATCGTTTCGTTCATGACGGAACATTGAGAAGGATGCATATAAAATAAATAATTTAAAAGTGACAACCGAACCCAGGCCGTCTGCGTGGCAAACGCAAGGGTTCTACAATGATGTACCAAAGAACCACGCTATTGCTCATTAGTAACTAAAAAAAAACACAATATGGATGTCACGTAGTGGAAGAAACACCCTTAATGCACAGAATATTGCGTGCCAAAAGCGTGCCTTCACGGTGGGTGTGAAAACACGTGAATTGCACGTCCAGTAGGTGTTTTAAAGGCCCACCCATTACAAAACGCTTAGAAATACGATTGTTTCCTTATTGACGTGTCGTGGCCCTTTGTTGATTCACGAGAAGAATAATTATGGCATACCGGGCTTACTTGCGCACCTAATAACTGTACCCGCAGTAGACATTATAGCGGCCAACGATATGCACACAGCCGTTCGTTTGCTTACGACATGGCGGAGGCACGCACCGATGACCGGAGCAGAGCTAGCAAATGAGAAGGTGATGTGCACCGTTCTGATAACGCCATCACGTTCAACTCTCGAAGGCAAAGCTCAAGAGACCTGCAAGCAGGTTCCAGTGTGAGTGACCACACTGGAAGTGCGCGAATACGTAAAAAGGAATTCATTTAAGTGCAGATGGTTCACAGCTTCAAGGGTTGATGTCACAATACGGCGTCTATTGATCTAGTTAGGTTCAGCTTATTACCACTTTAGTAGTATTAATGCCTGAAGCACTGGTTCATTGCTCACTCAGTCAGCAGCATAATCAAGTCTGCAGTCCACATAATCATGCGAGGCCTTGCATAAGCAACAAGCTTCTTCAGCGTTTCAAGGACCAGGACTTCACCATCCTTAGTGATTTCCATGTACTCCTCTTGTCCCTGAAGAAATCGTTGCGTTAGACATTTCAGTTGTCGGGATTCATGATACTCACCCGCTGATAAATGTGACATCCTTTGAGTGTTACCGAGCCGGGAGGCTGAAGGGTGCTTAGGATACCACTTGTCTAGAAAATGTAAAAACGTAAAGAAAACTTGGTCCCTGTATAGCTGTGTGCCAAATTTCTCATATAACATAAACTAATTTCGTCGTTTTTCGAAGAGGTTACGTGACACGCACAAGTAATATTAGCGTCAGTGGTTTATACATGAAGATCTATATCACATAAGCATAGAATTTTCAGTTGAGGATGTCGGCAGTGTTTGTACAAAAGTATTAGTGAAAATGAAATTGAAAATTTCATTTTCTATTCTATTGAAAATGAAACCAGTATATAGCACGTTGCGAAGGAATGCTACTCCAGTATAGGTGTAGCTGC